AGAAAAGTGTGATATGTTAGAATGCTATTTAGTGTGCAGAAAATCCTCCTTGAGAGCAAGAGAATAAATACTACAGTGAATTATATCCCGCTCGCATTCAACCGTATGAACGATATTTTCTGAGACTTTATCGAAAATTTAGGGGCAACGAAAATGTTTTTGCTAAAACAAGGGCAAAAAAAGAATTCATAATAAGCGAGGCCACGGAAATTGCAGTTATTGGATATTTTGAAGCTTATCGTGAGATTCCAATAGCAGATATTCTCAAGGACTCTAATTTCAGTTATGGTACTGTTCAAAGGATTTTAAAAAAATACAAATTTATTCCGTATAACTACCGACCAGTTCAAACGCTTTTGGCAGGGGATCCAGAGAGAAGACTTGTTTTTTGCCATTGGTATCTTAGCTTCTGTCGCCAAAATGTAAATAACTTTCGTTACCTTTTATGGACAGATGAATCAAATTTTTCAAATTCTGGAATGTTTAATAGAAAAAACCACCATTATTGGTCAAGAGAAAATCTTTTGTTAGTACATCCAAGAGGCCCACAAGTCCGTTTCAGTTTCAACGTTTGGTGCGGTATAATTGGTTCAAAAATTGTTGGCCCGTTCTTTTATGAGGGAACCCTAACTGGTGAAAGATATGTGGAATTTATGTCAGAAATTCTGACTAATTTCTTAGACGAATTGGATCTTATAAGTAGACATCATCTGCATTTTCAGCAAGATGGCGCACCTGCCCACAACTTATCATTTTCTAAGTACTACTTTTAATGATCAGTGGATAGGAACAAATGGCCCAATACAGTGGCCTCCCAGATCACCAGATCTAAACCCACTTGATAACTTCTTGTGGGGTTACTTAAAGAACCAAATTTACAAGCGAAGGTACGATAACCTTGACGCGTTAAAGACTGCAGTTAGGGAAAAGATAACCCAGATAGATGGTAGGACCATACTTAAGACAGTTCGAGCAGTTGAAAAACGTGCCCAAAAATGTATTGAAGAACAAGGTGGTGTTTTCGAGCATCTTCTTTAAAAAAAATTGTTATTGTATTTTGTAAGATTATAAGTTGATGTTGAAAATAAAGTTTGTCGATACAATTTAATTGTTTCAGATTGGAGGCCATAACTTCAACAATTTGTAACCTAGGGGAAAAGTTATTGTAAGCTTTTTTGTTTAAAATTTGATGCTTTAACAGAAAAAAATATAATATACAGGGGTTTCCATTTAAAAAAATGTTATTTTACTGAAAAAAATCAAAATAACGACTCTCAATTGTTTTTTTTATTTCTCATTTTTACCAGCGTTAAAAATGCTACTAGTTTGCTAATTCAAACAACTTTGTATTTTCACTAATAACAAAGTTACTAATGGTGGACACTTAATTTGGATAACCCTGTATAGTTGGACGCACTTATGGAAAGGTGTCGCTGTCAAAATTGTACAAGATCAAGAATTTGGACTTTGCACGGACACAATCTCAAAAAGCTATGTCTTCCACTGTCACTGTTGATACCTCGCTATTATTTCAACGTCTGTCTGTGGCTATGCGTGGAAGGAAAGAGTTGAGTAAATCTTGCTTCGACTACGAAATGTCTCATGTTCCACTTAGTTTGTTCGACGAGAAAGGATCAATGCGAAAGACCGACAAGTCACAGTTATATAAAATGTTCACTACTACCCTATCCTCACGAGCATTTTTTGAAGATTCTCAGTTTGTTGTAGACGGAGGATGGTTGCTTCACAGCCTCGTCTGGCCTCATAGTAAGACATACCGTGCAATCTTTGATATGTACAAGAACTTTCTTGTTCAGCGGTTTGGTCGGAGCGTCATTAATGTTTTCGACGGATATGAAGATAAACATATAGGTGTCAAATCATACGAGCGAGACCGTAGACAAGAAAGAAATTGTGGCGTGGACGTTGAAATTGAACCAGACAATCTCGTCCCATTGAACCAAAGGACATTTTTGTCCAACGTGAAAAACAAGGCTCAATTTGTTTATCACCTTGGTCAAACTCTTGCAACATATGAGGGATTCAGTTTTACCGTGATCCATGCGAAAGAGGATGCGGATGTTGAGATTGTGAGAACAGCTCTGAAGACTCATAACGAATTGTTTCGTCACGGGAAATCACGAGTTATAGTCGTCGGCTCGGATGTTGATCTCTTAATATTACTTATTGGACTCACTCCAACCTCAGAGAGCATGTACTATTACAAGATGGGCCAGGGGGGCAAGGCGAACCAATTGTACGATACTCGGGATCACAAACATTTGCAACCATTTCTACTTTTTGCTCATGACTTTGCGGGCTGCGACACTACTAGCTGTTTTTTTGGGAAAGGGAAGATGAAGCTGGTGAAGTTGCTGCTGCAGAACGACAGCATTAGAGCGCTGGCGCTGAAGTTTTACGAGCCGAACTGCTTGGAAGACGAATTGCTGCAATGTGCAGAGACGATTACTCTCGCACTATACAAAGACAAAGAACAGTCTTCTTCTCTCGGGACTTTCAGATACAATTTGTTTTCTACAAACTTAGCAAAGGCAAAAAAGGAAACGCCCCTAGAATGTCTCCCACCAACATCTCCTGCCTTGCTTCAGCACTGTAAACGAGTGTACTATCAAATCCAGGTGTGGCTTCAGCATAGATTATATCCCTGCTTGTGGGGATGGACAAGACAGGGTAATATTCTCATTCCGATCATGTCTGAAGCAGATCCCGCACCAAAAGAACTGGTACAAGAGGTATGTGTGAAATGTATTCAATTTGAAGCAATAAATACAACTTGCTACAACTAATTTTTACTACACTTTTGATCTCATGTACTGTCTGACCGGAATTGAAATAATTTTTGAACAATGTGAGATCCAGTTTCAAGTCAAAATAACAAATTTTTAGACCGATCTATGGAGCACTATAAAAGGCCTGTCATTGATTTCCCTTACAAGACAACTGATATTTAGATTATAATAATTCTTATGATAACTTTTTTTCAGGTATCCTGTGGATGCCAAGGGCCCTGCAAATCGAAGCGATGTAACTGCCGAAAAGCCGGTCTAAAGTGCAACCCCGCTTGCAAAGTATGCCGCGGAAAATCGTGCAACAACTCAAAGAGATGGACTGCTACAGAACACCATGATAGCGAAACTCCGACTACTACAGATGCATGTGAGGAGGACGTTGGACAAACTACCGTAGAACCCGATAATGATGACTTAACAGAAGATGATGAGACCTCATCAAGCAGCCACGATGCAACGACCGATGACGAGGAAATTAACGAAGAACTTTAATGACATTGACCTTCAATGATTTATCCTACTTGTAACAGATTGGGGTGGATATAACATTGAACTGTATATACTTTCAATTCCTCTTACATGCTATTGTAGGTTTCATTGGCTCAAGTGAGGGTTTTTGTACAACTATATGTGTGAAATGTAAAGTAACAAATGTAAAACAAACATATTTGAACACAAAAATAATTTGTTATACTCTATCAAAATAGAAAATATAAAAAATTGATGCAACTTCCAATTAATGGTTTGTACATAATTTCTTATCTCGATTAAAATATAATGGAGTAATGTTTTTCCACAGCGAGTGTGCAGAGAAGATATCGTCAAATACTCATCACCATCGGCCATTGTCTATTCTTTACATATTTGCGTTGGCGTAGGTCAGACCAACGTATAGACGCGGCTCAAAAACTGCTAAATCTCTTATTACGATCGTAGATTAACAACTACCGGTGATCAAACTGATTTGCGAGGATAACTATGAAAATAACGTGGAGCCTCGAAAGCGAGTCTTTTGATAACTCATTGGGCTTCTACATCCTGTAATGTATTCTTATCATTGCCACTCATTTATATACACGTTCACACCTTTTTTTGCAGCTGTAGGTTTTTTATTGTTGTTCCAATTCTAAATGAAAATATTATACCTCACTTATCCAGTCAATCGGTAAGCGGCTGAAGAAAAATTACTGCATCTTGTACTCTAAACGCAGAAATTTCAAAAATTCATTAATATGCATAAGTCTGTGAACGCCACAACTACAAACGAGCTTATTATTCGAAATCTCGACTGGCCTATGACTGAGAGAGAGACACTGAGGACGTCAAAATAAAAGAGGATCGTTCCGCTTCAATGGTACGGCGTCTGGCGACAGGTGTACGCGCGTCCCTTTCCCCGCAAACCCCCTGGCCCACAAGCCATCAGCAAGCTGTAGCGCGAAAACTAAGCAATTTAGCGAAACATTTGTAGAGACCTTTATTGATGGCCCAAAAATTAGAAAAATTTTCGTGTAAAAAAATCCCAGATATCCTCAGCCGTTTCAGCGAAAAAGAGGTTTTTCGGATTTTTCGCTGTTTTACAAAAAACGGCTGGTTTCCGGAAAACCAAATTCACACAACAATATTCGCAATCCTTTATTACACCATTACGCCAGCGGAAATAACTTTGTGGCTATGTTGTCACTTTTGTCTCAGTTTCGGCTATTTAACTGGACTATAAAACACCCGCATCAAAATTAAAACAGATAATTCTAATCAAAATGACAACAAAATAATAAATTAAATCCTTGGGTTTGACAGTAACCTAACCTATTGTAGAAGCATGTGCGAACATTTTGTGGTGTAACATATTGGCAACGCAGCAGATTGCACGACCTTTCGCATCACCGTTGCTAGGCAATGTGGTGATGACCTCTCTTCAGTCGGCTTCTATCTCTTTCTAACATGTGTTGATACACACTTCTCGCGCTTCTGTCTCGTACACATTGAACTCAAGCCGTCAGACAAATTTAGTTTCCCCTGTACGTATATATGGAAAAATGATGCTTATTGATAAGTTACGTTAAACATATCAGACATATTGATAACTTATTACTTCTAATTTCGTATATGTTATGCCATAACTGAATCTCAATGTCATTCATTTACAAATACTTTAAATATTGATTTTGTTTATTTTTCTATTACTTTCAGGTCTCACGCTGTTACAAAGATTTACTTGAGTGGAATCAATAAAGAGACAAAAGTATGCTACAAAGGTTCCATAAGCCTGGTCGACTTGGCGGGATCAGAAAACGCAAAAATGGTTGAAAATGATAGGATGAAAGAGACCAAGCATATCAACAAATCTTTGACCATTCTCGGGAACGTTATGCTCGCACTTTATAATAAAAACAAGCATATTCCATACAGGGAATCGAAATTAACATTTTTGCTGCAATCATCCTTAGGGGGCACGTCTAAAACCTTACTCATCGTCAATGTTTCACCTTTTGAGGAAAATTTCAATGAGAGTATAAACTCTCTAAGATTCGCTTCCAAAGTGAAGGAAGTTAAAACCACTGTTAAGAGGAACAAAACTGAGCAACAATAATAATTTGAATTCTTATTGGATATCGATCTGATTGCCACTACCTGTGCAGAGAGAATCATCATCATCTTTAAACAAATGCTTGTTGATATATGTATATGTTAAATAGTGTAACTGATTGCTCATGCTTCAAATATTCGCAGCAAATGTTTTTGTGTGCGTATAAATCAAAGTAAAAATCGCTTTTGTGGTCATTCTGTTCAAGTTTTGAGAAAGCTAACAGGGCCGACAAGTTTTTCACTCGTTCATCATACACGCATTTTTTTCATATACCAATCAATATGTTTTTTATTATTTCGACATTATGATGTGTCCATATTTTATAATTACTAGATAGAAATATATTATTTACTATACAGTGTTTTTAAAACTTATTTCATGTACTTGAAAAGTGTATCTATTACCAAAATAATCAGCTTATAGTTGTAGTAAACACTAATTCTGTTTGCAATTATAAAATATAAATATGAATATAGAAATTTTTTCAAGTAAATGTCTTATTGTATAAATATAAATTACCCGTTAAGTAGTTAATGTGAAACACATGGTCAAAAAAAAAGGGGCGCCGCCGTTTTCATAGAAATGTAATATACAGGGTGTAAAGTTAGTAGTGGATCAACGGAAGTCAGGTGATAGAGGGCTTCAAAACATATCTAATGAACCCCTATATGTGTGTTCCGAAATTTTATAGCTCAGGAAATATTTGCAATTTTGTGAAATTTCGAATAAAACTGGATAATGAACTCAATCACAATTACAACTAAACCATTAGGTTTAGGGCTGTGATTTTTTTTTCGTGATGAGCTATATAGTTAGTTTTAGCAATGGTTATGTCATTTTTTAACAGAGCTAATTAGAAATCAACGCAAAAAGTCTTGTGAAAAAATCTCTTCCAACTTTGGAAGGGTAAAAAAAGTGAAATAGATAATTTCTGTATAATCTCGTGGAGAATATGACATGATGCTACTCAGATGCCAAACGTTAGATACAAATTCCGCGCTGGACCAATACCTGACTTAGTAATTTTGGACGGAGCGAAGACTGAACGCTCCCGCACCTGGAATGCCGAGATGAATGTCCAAGCTCATTAAGCTGATTTGGCTATTTGCGTAAAATATCCGCCATTTTGAATTTACAAAATGTTAATACTCACAGTATCACTCGCACTGCTAGGACAAATCTAGCAGTATCTCATATGTCAAAATCCATCAAGTCGTTTGGACTGTAGCCCGTAAAATAGAATTTCTTGTTTACATGTATAGATACCCACCTGCGTCAAACATACAGATTTTTTAAGGTGAGGCACTTATCGTAGCAAGCTGAAAGTTTCAGGATTTATTATATATGCATTGAAATAGTGTTTACCATAAAATGAATAATTAAATACAACCTCAATTGTTTTACCCTTCGAAAGTTGAGGGATGGAATAGATTTTTCACAAAAGAATTATTTTAAGATTTTTTGCGTTGATTTATAATTAGCTCTGTTAAAAAGTGACATAACCGTTGCTAAAACTAACCATTTAGCTTATCGCAGAAAAAATCACAGCCCTAAACCTAATGGTTGTTGTAATTGCGATTGAAAGTCCATTATCCCGTTTTTTTTTTAAATTTCACAAAATTGCAAATATCTCGTGAACTATAAAATTTTAAACCACACATATAGGGGTTCATTCGATAGGTTTTGACGCCCTCTATCACATGACTTCCGTTGATCCACTACTAACTTTACACCCTGTATACATATATACAGGGTGGCCCATCCATGTGTGGACGGAATATTACTCATAAACAAATACATTTTCGGAAAATATGTTTATAGGATGTTATACATGACATTTGAGGTCATATTTCTAAAATATTGACCATTATACAGGGTGTCTCAATTTCGACCTACATATCAAAATTGTGATTTTTCAAATAGAATGCCTCAAATTTTATTGCATATTTGGATAAACAGATTCAAAAGATGAAAATTGATATAACATACTATGGGGTTTTGGTAATTAGCTACTGAGATATAAGGTATTTTGTCTAGAAAAACCCCCACTTCGGCAACCCCTCAGTCCGCCATTTTGAAATTTGGAGTGCTGAATTTTGTGTCAAAGAAAACCTACACACCTCAACTTTTATCTTTTTCGTTACTTTTTCGAAATTTAATTTTTTCTCATACAGGGTGTTCAAGTGCAAATATGGATTCAATTTTTCAAAAGCTTTTTTGATACTATACACATAAGGGTTTTTACGGCTATTTTTTCGGTTATTAGCACGTCTTTTATGGAACGGCCCAATTCCGCAAAATATGGAAACAAATAAATTGTTGATTAGTTACAAACTGTCAAAATTAGCTTTGTGACAGAGATACTTTGTGAGCATTATAATACAAACGTGTTTGAAAATTAATTTTTCTAAAGAAGAAATGGTGAATATGGTTTTTGTTTTGGGCGACGCCCAAAGAAATAGTTTCCTAGCATCTCGCATTTATAAGCAACGGTACCCTAATAGGCGACATCCAAGGCCGGGAACATTTTCTACACTACGAGAACGTTTTGAATCGAGTGGAGCAGTGGAATATAGTAAAAAATTTATGAATAATCCAAGTTTCATCAATGAGGCGAATCAGTTGGAGGTTCTATTAAAGTTGCAGGAAAATCCCCATTTTGAGTGCACGGCAAAATGGAGCAGAAACTGATATATGCAGAACTTCTGTCCAAAGGATTATTCACAAGCATAGGTACCATCCGTATCACCTATGCTTGGATCAAGGCCTTTGTCCTCAAGATTTCGCAGCTCGAATGGAGTTTAGTAGAATAATGCTAAATAAAGTGAGTGAAGACACTTCTTTCCTGGATAAGGTTCTTTTTAGCGATGAGGCAACTTTTAACAGCATAGGTGTTGTCAACAGGCATAACATGCACTATTATGCGACGGAAAACCCTTACTGGGATAGGCAAATAGATTTCCAAAATAAATGGAGCTTGAATGTTTGGGAAGGAGTTATTGGCAGACAAGTTATCAGGCCTTTCTTTTTAGACAACAGATTAACAGGTTGCCTTTGCTTTTGGAGGATGTCAACCTGCAAACTCGAATGCATATGTACTTCCAACATGACGGTGCACCTGCACATTATCATAATCGTGTGCGTAACTATTTGGACACCTAAAGTAACAACCGTTGGATCGATCGTGATGGGCCTATATCTTGTCCTCCTAGAGCACTAGATTTGACACCGATGGACTTCTTTCCATGGTGCTACGTTAAGCAAGTTTATAGATACTCACCATTACCCCGGAAAATATAAAGGAAAGGATTAAGGATGCTTTTCTGAACATAAGGGAACACGTGCTGAGGGATGTGCCACTGACATTTATCCAAAGACTACCGCTGTGTATTCAACATGGTGGAGATATTTTCGAGCAGTTTTTGTAGATTAGGTCTTGAGTAGTGATAGTTGTTTGTTTATGTTGTTGTTATACTTGTTTTTCTCTATTACGCTTGAAGCTGATTTATACTGTTCTGATTGTTATTAGTTTTTACATCAAATCTGTACTCTTAGCGGCAATATGGAACTAGCCCACTGTTTGTCTTTTGTTTCCATGGATGACGTGACTTTTTTCCTTAATTTTGGCGTGCTGTTCTATTAAATCTTAATAACTCAAAATCTAGTGATTTTATCTGAATCAAACCTTATACCAAAAAAAGCTTAAAGAATGTTGAATCCAAACTTGCACATTTGAAGGAAGCATTGTCATTAACGGGGCTCCTACAATCACGAGCACCATCTGCTGAGGTAACGGGGGGGTGAAAAGGAAACGATTGTAGGCTGGTCTTAGACGGTGGTCGGCGCTACTTTAAAAGAAGAAAGGATGACTGCGGGTGCCTACCGAGGTAAATTTTTATAATAACAGAGTCGGATTTCGATTAGCGATCTAGCCTGTAAATCGTTTCCTATTTTGGTACTCAGCTAGTGATCATTTAGTATTGTTCTACCCTTGTTAATGTTCGTCGATATTGTGTTGTTGAATTGTTGTGTTGTACTCTTTTTGATGTGATTGTTCTTGAGTGAATTTTTTATCAAGGTTGATAATGAACAATAAAAGGTCATATGCGACAATTTTAATTACGAATTCAGTGAGTTTAATTCATGATGAGGACAACAATAGTGTGGAGCAGTTCAACTCTATAATCGCAAAATACATTGGGCTAAGCGAATAAATTATTGCAAGAAAAGGTCATACCATGGAAGATGTGCTGCAGCTGTAGTGAGCCACAATACCGAGCGGCCTGTCTATGTGGTCCAAATACATTTGCGTTCTAAGCTTAGTCCAACCTCGCTTATCACTAAGATGGAACAAAGACTCAAACTCAAGAATCTTGGAAAGAAGCTCAGACCAAAAAAAGTTGATATAAAAATAACTAACAATTCGGATAGCAATTCGAAAGAAGATATATAATAGTTTTACGGCGAATTCTGTCAAAAACCTGACATGAACGACATTGATTTGGAGGTTGCTATGCAAGAATTTTTAGGGAAACTTAGAAAAAGTGACGACGAGATTTAGCATATCGCACAAGTCACCAAATCACAGGACTGTGCTTTGTGGCGTCTTCATTGGAGGATAAGGTTGACAGGGTCTCGATTTGGTGAAGTTTGTAGAAGAAGGCAGACAGCAAGCTGTAAAGTTCTAGTAAACTCGATCATATACCCAACAGAGTTTTCTAGTATGGCAATAAAAAAAGGCAATACCAAAATCATTGGACACGGCAGTTCAATCTTGTGGTTTGTTTATTGATCGCACACATCCATTTCTGGCAGCATCACCTCCATCTACCTATTACAGTAGACAAGACATGTCCTTAATCCAGGTATAAGCCTACCTGTTTATTGCTTTGCAAAAACTACCTAACTGTTTCCTCTTATGTTGACGGCATAAGATATTTTTATGACCCTCGTTCAATTGTTACATGACATGAATAAATGATTTAGAATTTGAGTTCTTGAATTTATTTTAGGAAAGATATAAAATTATATGAATACATTTTTTTTAGTCGGAACGCACTGTCGCGTCGCTTGGACTGGCAGGACGAAACTGTAGATGAGTTGCTGAGTTGAGCACAAATAGTGAGCATTTCAACCCACCATAATTCTTGCGCAAAGACAAAATTTTGTAAAAAGCTCTGATAGCACCCTAGGCAATTATGGCCTGCTTATATCCAGAAAAACATCACAAACTGCAGTTCACAAAAGGTAACGGCGAAATGGGTACATTTCACGGGTTATGAAATTCAAATGAATATGCAACCCCCCTTTTTAAGCAGTACAATTTTCTATGTCAATGATTAGGAACCCCTGAAACGTCAAAAACGGAGTTTCAGCAATTGTTACTTTTTCTTTTTTGCCTATAGCATCGTTGGCACTGGACTAAAACTACAAAGCTTTGGCATACTAGTAACCGCGTGTGGAAATTTCATAAAAATCCGAGCGGTAATTTCCAAGTTGATTATGAATGATAGTTTTTCATAATGTAAATGTCATATGACTTAAAAAAACATAACATCTCATTTTAGAAATTTTTCGCGATTACAATACTTCCTCGCCAATGGCGTGGGAAGTAAAACGGCTTTAAAATCGAGGAGTATCAGCGATCGCGATTATGAGTACCTATTTGCAGAACGACTTATCTACGCGATATTATATGAAATAGGGCCACCAAATTATCTGAATACATCCTTCCTTAGTCCGTACATTGCGCCGCAACGCTTGGTTTGGCAGCACGAAACAGTTGACAAAATTCGTCCAAAATACGATTTGTAGAGGTTTGGGCGCTTCAAATTTGACGCTTTATTTTTTGATATTTTTGGATGAAATTTTCACAAAGTGCTGAAAACAAAACCCCACAGGGTGTTATAGAGCCACTTTTTCATTTTTTTCACTAGGTTCTTTTTAAAAAAATCGCGAAATTGAACAGAAAAACCCATCATAAAACTTGCGCAAAAACAAAATTTCAAAAAGTGCTCCTATAGCACCCTCAACATACTGTATGGATTTCATTCAAAAATATTGAAAAATGGAGTGTCAGTTTTGAAGTAGCTGAACCCTTGTACTATAAATGGCTTGATACTCACTGCGTCGGAGCCGCCTTAACCATCAAGGATTCCATGTGGGAGCACATGCATTTGATTCTCATGATTTGGTCGCTTAATTCAACTACATGCTATACAATTTAACAAAAATGACCATATGAAGAGGTGATCTGCAAACTGCAGTCTTTGAAATTTCAACGTTTTGAGATAAAGACGTTTTTTTAAGGTGCGTAAATGGAGAAGTAGAATGCTAAGCCAAACATACCACCTCAAATTTCAGAGACAACGAAATGGCTACACTAACCTGCTGAAATCTGGTCCTTATCGTTTGCTGACTAACACAAAAAAAAACAAAAAACCGCATTTTGATTTTCCACATCTATTAAAACTGCGTTTTGAAAAACCAATCTATTCATATGAAACATAAATGAAACGGAAAGTTATATAATTATATTTTCAAGCCAATGTCTTCCTCAGCACAATCACACAACTCTGGATCTACATCGTCGGATTCCGGGCATGTTTCTTCCTCGTCTCCTGTTGGATGTCTTCTTTCATTTAGTAGGTTCTTGTACCAAGCGAAGGTTCCATTATCTTCCCAGTCTTCTTGATACTTTTTTAATAGGGTTTCAACGTTTTCAAGCTTAATTTTTTTAATGCTATTGCGCAGTTCAATTTGCTTAGGTTGGTAATTTTCTAATTCCGCACCTCGTTTCAAGTAGTTCTGATACTTTGTATCGTTGTCTGTTCTGTAGAAGACTTCTAATTTTGTCAAACACTTTTCTCGAACCCTTTTCTAATGAACTCGCTTTACTTCTTGTATACCACTGATTTTCTTGCATTTTGTACTAGAAAAATCCTTCCAATCCAACGAGTCCCAATCTTGTCCCATCACTTTAACATTCCCAACTTCTCCAAAGATATTCCAGTATTCTTCCTTAGTGGTAATTTCAGACCGCTTTCTGCAGATCTTCTCTATCCGACCGAATACTCTGTCTGCAGGTAGATAAGAATGACCTCTCACCGGAAAATACAGGACCACCTCTTTAATATGTTTAGGTGCCTTAGTGGAAAGCCAAAACATCAACATGTGGATGATAAAAGAATTTTTATTTTGTCCTCCGCATCCATCGGAAACTCGCGATTTGTCAAGAAATGGTATATGGCTGATCCTATCTCATTCGGTCAGCTTTACGCTTGATTCTCTGTCCAAGTATAAAAGTAAGGGTGTCTTGTACTAGGTTCTGTTATACAAAAGTTGTATAGAGCAAGTTGACGTAAATAAAATGCTTCCCCTATGTTCATTTTAGGTAACGCTTGGACTTGCTGCAAGTCAAAGCATACTGTGAAGCTGTTCTCCGGAATTGCTTTCAAAAAAAGGTGGAATTGTTTAGCTCTTAATTTATGAATTCTCAGCTCAGTAATAGATTTTCCTTTCATAGCTGCATTCTTTGTGGATCTAATTGTATTTTTCAGACGGGTACATAGACTACATACATCTTTTGCGGGATTCCCAAAGCCGAGATTGAAATAGCGTACACAAATATTATAAAAATAACGACGCGAGACTTTTAAATTCAGATCTACAGAGTTATTATAAAGTTTTGATAGTTTCGCAATATTCAAGTCAGATGAAAGATAAAGTCTCTTCGATTTCTTACGATTGTAATGACTTTCACTTGCATGTAAATTCCCAATGAATTTTTTAACACTGTTTTTCTGCTCCTCGTATTTTTTGCTTCTCCGATCACCTCCCCTTCTCTCAATTATCTGCCCTTCTGCCTTCTTTTTTCCGATAGTAAGGATGTTCCGTTGTGAGATCTTCAAAGCAGCCAAAAACGTCTTTTGACACACTAACAGCCTGTCAGAGTTAATATTTCTTAAAAAATAATCCAGCCTAATTGCTTGGCCTTTATTTGTCAATGTTTCTTCACTTTTTTTCCTTTTAGGATGCTTAACTTCAATCAAGTGGGCTATTTTATTATCTATTATCGTTTTTACTGGTTGTCTATACACAAACTCTCTAACACGTTTTACATCCTCTGTAGAAACTTCATGACACTGGAGTGCAGTTTTTAAATGCTTGCACTTCACTTCAAAATCTTCAGCATTAGGCATATGATTCATGTATCTAAAACAATAAAAAATATAAAACAACTCCGCTCACTTGCTTTTATATTCAAACTTACCGCATTTTTTGCCCTTTCTCGTTTAGACATAGTTCGTTTTCTTTTTCTCGAACCATCAGATGCGTCACTAACTAGCACTAGACTACTATCATCCATTTTTAATTTCGAAATATTGCGTAATTTAGCAGCAACAGATCGCAAAAGTATAACACGCACACTTCGTAACTGCCGGTAAACAACTGAACTATTCACAGCCGGTCTGAATATCCCCCCACTTATTCAAAGAAATACTGCGTTTTGTCGTGCATGTGTAATTTTTATCAGCAAGTTAAGATTTGAAAAGTTGCGCTATGATTTTCCAAGCATGGAGTAATAAATTGCGTTTTGTTATTCCTAGTTAAAAAAATATTGCGCTTTGTAGAACACCACAATAATTCACTAGCTATTACAAAGGGAAAAACTGCAGTTTGACGTTTTTAATTAGGTTTATCGGGTAGAGGACCATTGAAAATATACGATCACATGCCTAACCCAGATTTGCCAATTTTTCAAAAACTGGGGTTTGCAGATCACCTCCTCATATATCATATTCAATAAATTACAAAAATGTCGAAATTGGACTCTACATTTAGTCCAGCTAAATAGCCGTATCTGCCGCAAAAGTGATAACATAGCCACAAAGTTATCTCCGCTGGCGTAATGGTGTAATAAAGGCTTGCGAATATTGTCGTAAGAGTTTGGTTTTCCCAAAAACCCAAAAACATCCTTTTCGCTGAAATGGCTGAGGATATCTGGGATTTTTTTACACGTAAATTTTTCTAATTTTTCTGCCATCAGAAAAGGTCTCTGCATTTTTTTTGTTAAATTGCTTAGTTTTCGCGCTACAGCTTGCTGATAGTTTATTGGTGAGAGGCTTGCGATGACAGGGGCGCGCGTACACATATCACCAGCCGCCACACGCGGACGATCTTCTTTCAATATTTCGACTTCCTCAGTGTCTCACTCTCAATGTCGATTTCGAATAATAAGCTCGTTTGTAGTTGTGGCGTTCACCGACGTATGCATATTAATGAATTTTTAAATTTTATGATTTTGAGAAGAGTACAAGATGCAGTAATTTCTCTTCAGGCGCTTACCCATTGACTGGATAAGTGAGGTATAGTATTTTCATTTATAATTGGAACAAAAACAAAAAACCTAGAGCTGCCAAAAAGGTGTGGGCGTTTATATAAATGAGCAGCAATGATAAGAATACATTACAGGAAATACAGAAGCCTAATGAGTCATTAAAAGACTCGTTTTCGAGGCTCGACCTTGGTTTCATAATCATCCTCGCAAATCAGTTTGATCAGCGGTAGTTCTTGATCTACGACCATGATAAGAGATTTAGCAGTTCTTGGGCCGCATCTATACGTTGGACTAACATACGCCAACGCAAATATGTAAAGAATAGACAATGGCCGATGGTGATGAGCATTTGACGATGTCTCCTCTCCAAACTCGCTGTGGCGACCAATAATAATGCTTTTCCGCCTATTCCTAGTCTCAATGTCTCGGTGTACGTTAGCTTGATGTGTAGACCCGTCAGTATGCTCTGCTGTACAACTTATCTGCACAGGACTTCACACCTTTTTTGTGCAGCTCAGGGATTTTTTGCGTTTCCAATTATTGATAATGAAAGGACTATGTGTACATTTCAGAGTTGAGTTAATTGAACAGAAACATAATAATACAAAAATTGTCATCCTATCAAAATCGAAAATACATAAAATTGATGCATCTTCCGATAAATGGTTTGTCCATAATTTCTTGCCTCCAATGAAATATACGGAAAAAATATTTAACTTCAATTCTAATATGTACACACACTTACCTCGCTTATCCTGTCAATAGACAAGCAACGAAGAGAAATCACTCCATTTACTTAAACGCATAAAATTAGTGCATTCGGAAGAGTTTGTGAACGCCAAACTGACAAGCGAGCCCAGGCTTCGAAAATCAACTGGACTATTACGGAATAACCCCCACCATGTAGTAAAAGATCATCTGCGTCGTCAACGCGTGGACGTGACGGGATGGTGCGGCGGCAGCTTGGTGGTATGCAGGAATGCACGTTCGCGCGCCCTTCACCCATAAACTAACAGCAAAAAATTGCTAAGACCTTTTTTGATGGCCCAAAAATTAGAAAAATTTACGTGTAAAAAAAATCCCAGACATCCTCAGGCGTTTCAGCGAAAAGTAGCCCAGCGGAAATAACTTTGTGGCTATGTTGTGACTTTTGCGGCAGTTTCGGCTATTTAACTGGACGGATTGTCTAGAACGATTTGGATAACTAAAAGGAACAAAAGAGCATACTGTTTGTATCCTAAGTTTGAATAATAAATAAAACGATCCAAAATAAGAAGGAACTAAATTTCGCTAAATGTCATGTCTACAATGATTCAAACGTTCTGTCTGTTGACGGCTTCTTTCGAAGTACATAAAAGTTACAAACATGTATGAATTTCTTTAGGTTCAGTAATAGAAAAGCCATTAACCCAGATATGCCTACAGCTCAAATAAATTATAATAAAGTATGTTCTCTGCAAATTCATTCTATATGAAGCATATATTAAACAAATTTATTATTTTTTAAATTTTATTTTAGGAAAATGTGTAAAAAAATGCCGTACAAAATATGGTACACTGGGCACATAGGCGAACATTAAGGTTTAGTATGGAAGGACAAAAAACATTTTACATGCATCCCTACATTGCACTTAGAGCACCTTGTTTTTGCTCTATCATGACATAAGCCACCTCTAGTTGGCTTTTATTGTGGTATCACAAAATGATCTAAACAATCATAACGAATATCTATATATTCATTAGCCGAAGGACGACCTCTAGAAAAAGATGGCGGTTTCTTGTCCTGTTGTAACAAGGCTGTGGCAAGCCGCCGTCTAAATAATAATTGATCCATATGTCCTCCGTGCGATCTATAAAGTTACCAGGAATTATGAACAGCCATATCAATACAGTGGCTGATCAATGAAAAATACCACTATTTACCCCGGATGGAAATGCGATACAGACCAATATTTTGATCACAACGATCAACGCCGCCCATATTTGCGTTGTATACATCTACAAGATGAGGCTGTTCTACCTAAAATCAAAAGCATTTCTGAAAACATTGATTTTCTTGCAGATTGTGTTTCTTACCTGAATACTTTTTTTATCCTTTTGAGAGTATCGCTTTACAAAGCGAATTGGTTGCAATCCTTGCGGCATTTGAACAGAGTATTACTAAATTATTGTCATGCCATTTTACTGCAATTATGTTTGTATCGGAAATTTTGTTGTAATCGTAACTACCTCTTTTTCCCTTTTCATAATTTTAGAATCTCTGAATTGGACACGCCTTGTAAACGATTTTCGCTAGCAGTACCAGTCGCAAAGAAATTTTTTTCTGTCAATTTTACCATAAGAGGGAGAGAAGTGAAAAAATTGTCGAAAATTAAATGAAATTTTTCATTTGGCCATTTTCTCCTCAGTGCATCAGAATATTCTAATACCACACCAGCACCAACCCCCAAATCAGCATAATTCTTACTAATGTTGGTTGACGACCCTTGGTAAGGTTCAACCCAGTAAACGTAGCCTAGTCTTGATGCGCCAACTCATAATTTATAGCCGTATCGTATAGGTTTTCCGTGTCAAAATTCCATGGTCCAATGTTTGATTCAGGCTCGCAAATAAAGGTCTAACTATGCAAACTTATCTCCTTGCTGTAAATTGTAGTTATCTACTAAATGGAAATTTGACATAATATACTCAAATTTATCTCGTGTAAGCGCTTCTGTGACGAGTTGATTATTAGCATCCCTTCCACGTTCCCAGAACATTCTTCTACGTGGAACATCGACGCAACCACTCAATATTAGTGTTCCAATAAATGCCCTTATTTCATACTCTTGCACCTCTTGTTGGCGATTCTTTTGCCTGGCATATCTATATATTTGTTTCAGTTGTTCAGCGTGTTATAAGTTCGCCGTCAAAAAAAAGTGAAAACCATTCAAGTGGAGTCTTAGAAGAATTATTTTGTTCAAGAATTTCTTCGAAGTTTCCAGGAACTTCTTGTGGTAGATCCTCCTTCACCCATTTGTACGTTTTTCGTTTCTTTAGCTTTTTATTTTTTATTTTTTTAGCCAATTCAGACAATGGAATATTATCTTCGGAATCAGATGAAGATATGCTAAATTTTTCATGAGGTATGTTTATCTCAGCAGGTGCTTGTAATTGTGAACCCGGTAGATTATCAGCTGACATTACATTCTCATCGCCGGAGTCCTCGTCTGTGAGAATGTCACAAGCATTGATTGGAGGCATCAATGTGATATTACCCACATTTGCTACTACATCTTCATTATCCTCCAGCATAGCAAGGGCTTCCTCCAGAGAAAAGCCCCTAAAAATGAAGCAGGCATGTATTTTCCTGGCGTACAATATTTTGCACACTCAAATATAATGACGCAATTGTGAATCCGAAATAATAACATAAGTAATTTGGCATTATAACTGGAAAAAGCATGTGTGTTTTATTGGTAGAAGCAATCAAAACATTTTTTTTTATTTACGTAAAGACCATATATATTTACTTCTTCACAAAATTGCAAAAAATCTCAATTACACCCAGCCGCACGTTACGATTTACTAAGGCTTACTGAATACATCTGTGCTATTACCGCGTCAAAATAAGCACAGGTCGTTGCAAGTCGCGACTTGTTTACGGTGTACCATAAATTGTACGCTAGGCATATCTGGGTTAATTCCTTTTTTAACATCTGTAATTTTCCTAGTTTGGCAGGATAGATACAATGGTGTGTAAGAGATAACAGTTTTTTTGTCAGCTATTGTTATGGATCTGAGATGTTTATATCTTAGTTTTTGGTAATCAACCGCTTGGAGGTCGCGAATAACAGTAGATTATTTTTAAAAAAAACATTTCCATTTCTGTGCAGAATACCAATTTTTCAAATTTGACATCCCTTCATATTGGTTGAATTGTACTTCAGAGTATGCAGTCTAAGTTAGTGATGAATTTCGCCTTGTATTAAACACTAAAGCATCGTCAGACTGTCGAGATGTATTTTCAATCTGACGATGCTTTGAATCCAAGGCGAAACGCGTCTTTCATAATCTTGTATTAATTGTGAAACGTTCATAAGGCTGATGTACAATTCAATCACTAGTGGTTATAGTTGCGTTTTTTGAGTGAGTGTACGGAAAATTTTCTATACTGAGTGACAAAAAAAGGTTAACACCTACC